CCTTGGGTTTCCGAGGCAGTATCACTACGGAAGTAGGATTGCCCAACCTTCCTTCCGAGGAGTGCCTGGTGGGTTTGAACCACCAAGCCCTCTGGTTAGCAGGCAAGTGTCTTATCCACTATGCTACCAGAGCTCCCAGGAGTGTACCTACCTGGTGTAAATGTTCACCTTATACACCTGTCTATTGTTTGGCTGAAGCCACAGAAGTAAGTTCAACTGCAGGCCCAAAGGGTGATGAAAGCCCATATTCTCAGGGATTGTACCAGCCTCTATCAGATCAGTAAGCCTTGTCTTTATTATTTTGAGTTTTGTTCCATATTTTTCTCCCACTTTATCCAGTATCTCCTACACTGCTCCCTTTCTGAGTTGTTAACAGTGGTTAAAGGTAATTTTTGAAAGACAGGATTCACATACCTTTGGAAGCTCTTCGATCTGATTAGCATCTAAATAGAGCTCCTCCAAGGTTTTTTCATAAGCAAAAATCTCTTTGGGAACCTGTTCTAAACTGCAATGAGAATAATCCAGAGTAGTTACTGTCTCCTCTTCCCCTCGTAGACAACGACATGGTACCAGCCGCACAAACAAACTTCGTTTTGTAGTCATTTTTAAACACTGCAATATTCAAATTAAGAAAAAAAGTAATTAAGACATATACACTATAACACCTTTTCTGAACAAATTTACATATCACAGCTAAACACACACACACACACACACACACACACGAATGGAATACATTTAATACCCAAATTTACTTATACTGAATTTCAAATTGAACTCAAATACTTAAATACTTTACAAAATAATATGTGAAGTAATTATGTTGTTGTTATGTGCCATCAAGTCGGACCCAACTCATAGCGACCCTTCTTTGGGTTTCCAAGGCAGTATCACCATGGAAGCAGATTGCCCAACCTGCCTTCAGAGGAGTGGCTGGTGGGTTTGATCTGCCAGCCTTCTGGTTAGCAGTCAAGTGACTTAGGCACTATGCTACCAGAGCTCTAAAGAAAACAGTGCTTTGAGTCTGCTCCTTAGCTTGCAAAAAAAAAAAGTCCTAATACAAAAAAAAAGTTTCTCTTCAATTCTTTTTAGAGTACTCTGTTTCTGAAGAACTTGCTCACGTGCAGTTTTGATTAGGAACTGGATACCAAAGACATTCTGGTCTTCCTAACCAGCTGTCAGGGATCAATTACTCATTAACATTCCTATGACCCTCCCACATACAAATTCGACTCTACTCTCACATATATTTTGTTTCATTTAAATATTACTCTTATAATTTTCCCAAAGGGCTTATAGGCCTTAGATTTGTTTAAAGTATACACAGTGCAGGAAAAAACTGCTTAAATAAAGATCTCATTATTCCAAACTATGTTGGCTAATAAAAGGCTAGTTCTGAAATAGTGAAAATTCCCAAGTACCAATTTTGTTAAAAGAACCCGGCTGGTGAAAGCAGTTTGCAATAGGCTTCTAACTGAAAGGCTGCTGGTTCAAACACACCCAACAGTTCCGCAGATATAGGCCTGGTGATCTGCTTCTATAAGACTACAGCCAAGGAAACCCTATGGAGTAGTTCTATTCTGTTAGGGTTGCCATGAGTCAGGGACCAACTCCACAGCATTGAAAAATAACAATTTGACGAAGCACACAATGTACACAGGCAATTCCAAAGAGGTGAAGGCTGTCTGAGGGAAGAAAGACCTTCAACTGGTAAGAATTATCGATAGTGCAATCATTTTTTGTGTGTATAATAACAATACTTGCCCTAGACAGAAGACTATTAGATGACTTTTAACCAGTGTTTAGTAGCTTTAGGCTAGTGAGGACAGGGGCAACAAAAAACTCAGAAAAGGAAGAGAAATAATATTTTAAGGCAATTTTGTTTAAAAAAATCAGAATTACTGCAAAATAATCCTTTTAGGAAAAAATGTCAAATTTTTAAATAAAGACAGGATCAGTTTTGAGTTTTCCTTTTACCTTAGACTCTACTATGGCTCAACAAGGCACTGCTTCTAACTCTTCTAATTCAAATTATATGCTAATGTAAAGTATTTGACAACTCTTTTAAAGCAGGGAAAGTATTTCCCTTGCAAACTTTTTAAAAATCTGACTTCCTTATACTATTTTTTAAGATATTACTATGTGCAAGGCACTACACTCCAATTTTTAAATAAGCTATATGTACATTGTTATTTCATTATTACTACAACTTTCTAAGCTATTATCCCCATTTTTCCATAAAGAAACTGAGTCTTTCTTATATGCTGCACTATAGTGCTTCTCAACATACAATAATAAATACTTGGACTCAGGCCATCAAAATGATTCAAATATCAACAGATCTTTACTACATATTTTTCTTTTAGGGTTTATACAAAGAAATTATGACTTCAGGTATTAAATATTTTTATTAAAAAAATCTTTGTCAGCAAATACCTAGAAGCATTTACAGAATGCTTATTAACAATCTATGTTTACATAAAGGCACATGTTACTGATAAGGAACTATTTCTGCAGAGATACTGCCTCAGAAACCCAAGGAGGGGTGGGACCGACTCTTGATGGCATTGAGTTTGAGTTTTTGAGTTATCTAAGGAACTAGGAAAAAAAAAAGCAAACTCAATGCCACTGAGTCACTTCCAATTCACAGAGACATAGATTGCCCAATCTTCCTTCTGAGAAGTGGCTGGTGGGTTTGAACCACCAGCCTTCTGGTTAGCAGTCGAATGTCTTAGGCACTATGCTACCAGAACTCCTATCTAGTAAGTAAGGAGAATTTAACTGCTAACGGAGAATTCAGTTT